AACAGGAAGTTCTGTATTGCCTCAGGGGCTCGATGGTTTGCCAGGTATGATAAACAAGGGAAATAACTAAAGAATCCAAGTAGAGATGCAAACAAGTCACAGTCAGTCTCTGAAACCAGGCGAACCTGACCTCCTTCAATCGCAAATATTTCGACCTCTATTTGACACAGACCGGGGTTTTTTTCACAAAAAGAAAAGCAAAGGAACATGCTTTAAGATGATACCAAAAACCCCATGATAGAATATGCCCAAAAATTGACGAGCGCCTGATTCCACAACGTTGTGACAAAAATCATATGGAGTTTACTCTAAACAATACACATCATTCCAGTACTTGTCAACAGCTGACTACATGATGTATGTATTGTGAGTCAACCCCACTGGTTGTTCCATTCTTGTTTACACTAATTTGACTCCTCTGGCGAATGCCGTCACTCTCCTGACTACCTGTAGGGAAACAGAAAACACGACATAAGTATAAGCAAAAGAAATGACTAATCAGAGGCGAAGCTTCTATATATATAATCAAATAATCACGCTGCTTCCCTTCTTAACATCATCGCAGTCAAATTCACAAATAGACGTAGACATCATAAATTAAATGTAAAAAGATGTTCCTAATCACCCATGAACAGAATGCCTAACATTCTAAACGGTTTCATTGCCACATAAATACCCAATACCCTGTTCACCCCTTACGGGCCACTTCATAAGCAGTCACATGCTTTGATTATATAAGCTTAAAGTGAGGCTGGAAGGGTCTATCATAAGAGTAAAAGGGAACTTGAGCATGACACTCAAAACTGTTTCATTGCCACAAATACCATGTTCACCCCTTTCAGGCCACTGTCATAAGCAGTCGCAAGCACTGGTTATGCAAGCGAACTATTAACACTGATCGAGTGATAGATTGTAACCATAGATGTACACTATACGCACTAGATACAGCACGCCCCTCTCTCGCCTTGTTGCGCGACGGCCACATTTGACAGCGGCGTCCGCCATGTTTTTTGTGGCAAGTTGTGTGAAGGAGTTCATGCTAAAGCAATGACTAGGCATGTTTTCTCTCTCTCTCTCTCTCTCTCTCTCTCATACGCGATAGGCGAGGCTTGGATCTTGTTGATTTATTTTTACATGGGCGCCGAGGCGCGCTAGAAAATCTATATCTAAATTACTAAATAGCAATAGTAAAACGTTCTTTCTACAACTAGATCTACACATAAATGTATTATTAAATAGAAAGAAATATAGAGATATAGGCTTTTAAAAAAAGAAGGGAAAAAACACCTTTATTTCTTCCTCGGCACTTAATGCGTGGTTTATTTTTTATTGATATTGACTGAATCAAAGCGTATAGGGCCTATAGAACTTTTAAAAAGAAGTATTAAAAGATGTGGGTGTCATGGGAACCTCCCATAACCACCCCACCCATCTCTCCTCCCGAATCCCAATAGCAACACCCCCCCCCCCCCCCCCCA